AATTGCCTTCCAAAGAGTCTGTAACAGTTTATATTCTTGCCAGCATCTTCCTTCCAGGTTCTGAGCTGGACAGGTCACTGCCCATATACTGCTCTCTAAGACTCTTTGATTTCTTTCCTCTGTTAATTTTTGCACGTATGATGATTGTATTGTAGTTTTTCACAAAGTCATTATTTTTCTGAGATAGATACTATAGTATTTACAGATGCAATGAATTAGGGAAAAAAGACTAGGGTAGAATTTATTTTTAATCTCAAAGTAGGCTTTTCTGAAAAGTGAAGGGGAAAGACAATAGAATCCAGAAGTGCAGAAACAGATGCGCTTAATGAAGAACAGATTTCCTTATGTGACTGAAGGATAACCACAGCTGGACACTTGCAGGACATCTGGTCCTGCTCCCACGCAGTGTTAGAGGTTTGAGCTGGCTCTGCTCTAAGTCCCTTCCACAATCTGCTTCTCTTAGAGTTCAAGCTTCCAGATCCTTCCTCTGGACCTGGGCCTTACTGCTCAGACCTTTGGGACTATTCCAGCCTTCCTCCTCCATGAATACCCCCTTATTTCCACTCTTGGCTGAGGAGGTATCTGAATCTTAGGCCTCAGAAATTCCTTTTTGACCTATCATCTCCTTCTCAACTTCTCCAGGTCTCTGAGGCTTAAATTCTGGAAATTGATTTTCTTTGTCTTAAAAAAGGTAAAAACCTGTGTTTAAGTTCTTCCTTTTGACAAAGTCTAGCCTTTTCATCAATAGTTCTAGTCTGGTATCTGGCCTACTCTCTGCATTGTATCCTCCTTTCTCAATAGCCAGCAGAAACCTCGGGCCTCTTTCTGTCCTAAGCCCTACCTCACTGTCACATTGCCCACTGAGTTCCTGTTCTTTGATGCTTATGTCTCCAGCTTGAATATTATTTGCATAATAGTGACAATAAGACTTACCACTTTTTGGAGGGTTTGCAAAGCACCAGACACAATACTAAGTGCATTATAATAATACGTACATATCATCACGTCACCATTCTATTGCCATCAGATAACCCTAAGAGGTGGCTGTTATCCTGAAATTGCCAGAGGAGGATTCTGAGGCTCAGAGAGGTTAAATAACTCTCTGAAGGTTCCACAGGTCATTTAATATCACAGCCAACATTCAAACCTGAGTCTCTGACTCCATACCTCGAACCCTTGTGCACTTTGACGTGACTTGAGACATTGCTTACCAGGCAAAGAGGCTTTTCCTGACTTAGTTCCCCAGTTATCAGTTATTCATATTCTCCTAGAGAATAATTTTCCAAAAGTAAACCAGTATTGAATACTTACTGAGTCTGTGTCACTTTCACGTCCTTTCCCTCAGATCTTTTGCTGGCCAGTTCTTTGTCAGACTTCAGGTCTTAACTTTCTTAGAACAGCTTCCCTAATAATCCTGTCTGAAATTGTATCCTTTTCCTTCATACTCTTGGTCATATCTCCCATTATTTCATTTTATTCATGGTACTCTCCATCATCTGAAATTACCGTATTTATTTATTTACTTTCTTAATTATTGTCAGTCTCATTTATTAGGTAAGTTTTTGAGGACTGTCAGAAATTTTGTCTGGCTTCTCTGCTGTATTGCTAAGGCTCATGACAGTGTTTGGCATAGAGTAGTCAATACATGTTTACTGATTACATGAATGGAGGAATGACTGGTGATCAGTCTCTACCAACAGAAGGGGAAGAGTGGTTCCCTGACAAAGGGGCTTGGGAAGTGGCTCCAGAGAAGGTGCTTATGTGGGAAAATATTGGAACTTGGAGAGTGGGGCCCTCACCTCTCTTCCCTTGCTTTGCAGGCCGGAGGCACCCAATGAATTCTATGATGGAGACCACGACAACGACAAGGAAAGTGACGTGGAGATTTAAGAGCAGCTGGGCTTGCTGTGCCCCCACGGAATTCCATTTTACCTCTTGATTGGATGGGAGGAAAAGTGGTCCCCTAGCTCTGGACTGATCACCTTCACTGGTTTTACCAATGCTGGGGGACTGTTTGGAGACCACATCTGGTTCTTAAACCAACTATCCTTTTTCTTCTTCCTCCCAAGGCCTGACAATGGTGCCTATTTGGGATTGGATGGGGACAAGAATAGCTATCTCTAGAACATCTTGGGCAGTGGGCCCTAGATGCCAGTCCCAGTTCCTCTGGTCCCCTTATTCCTTCTCTGCTTTCCTCCAACCTAGAGACTTTTAGGGATGAAGGAGTAATCAGGACTGAGGTTGCCTTTGGCTTTCTCCTTCCCTGGGTTCTCCTACTATAAGCCTTGCTTCCAGTGCAGGTGAAGAGTGAGGGATTTTAGGGGCCTTTGGCTGCCTAACACCTTAACCCCAGATGATGGGAAGTATTGGAGTAGGATGTGAAAATGTCCTGTTCTAACTTTTGGCTTTATGTCCATTTTACCACTGTTTTTATCCAATAAACCAAGTTGGTATTTTTTGTACCTTTTGCCTTTCTGGGAAATCTTCTTGTTAGCTACCTATGTGTGAAGGGAGAGGAAAGGGGGGTGATGATGTATGTAACATTGTAGTTGACATTCACTCAGCACTTAGCTTATGTTAGGCCCTGTGTATGTATTCTACATGGATTATCTTGCTCATATATAGGGAGTTAATAGAACATTCTGGTTAAGAGTTAGACAGACCTGGGCAGATTACTAGCTTAAGAGAGAAAGTAGAAGAGGACTTGTGTTTTTTGAACCTGGGTGTTCGGAATGGTGGTGCTAGTTGGTGAAGATGCACTGAGAAAACATAGTTTCTCATCTTAACTGTCTATGTGAAGAACGATGCTAGTAGTCACAAACATAGACCCTTCCCTAAAGGAGGTTACAAGTAAACTCCCAGTAAGGAATGAGATAAATACAGGTGTAGACAGTGGTACAAGAAAGAAGAGTACTAGATCGGTCACTCTTCCATTCTTTGATTCTGTCTGTTTTTCATCTCTAGCTTAGAAAATAGCTTCTGAACTGGTTTGCACAAATTGAGTTGGAAGTGTGGGCTGGACAGCTCTGTGCAAATTTTCACCAAGCAATTAGAAAGTGGAACACAAGAGTCAGATTTAGGAGCCAGCCAATTTGGCAAAGTCCTTGTAATCTTATCAGGCCCTAGACCAGTAGTTCTCAACCTGTGGGTCGTGACCCCCTTTGGGGGTCAAATGACCCTTTCACAGGGGTCGCCTAAGACCATCAGAAAACACATATTTCTGATGGCGATTCATAACAGTAGCAAAATTACAGTTACAAAGTAGCAACAAAAATAATTTTATGGTTGGGGGTCACCAAAACATAAGGAACTGTATTAAAGGGTTGCGGCATTAGGAAGGTTGAGAATCATTGCCCTAGACTGAGCACTGGGGGCTACAGAGTGAGTGAGTCACTGAATCTGCCCTCCAGGAACATACATTTGAAATCTTTTGCAGCTGTGGGCAAGATAATTCAGTCCATACTTCGAGGACCCACTGGGTACTACATACTTTTCACTCAAGAAACTATTGTTGAGAGAATGAATGAAATTACTGAGGGAGAAATCAAAGTAGCAGAGCAAATAACATACTCTTGGAGAACACCTGTTCTTTTCACTCAGGTTTGGTTCATGTCAGTAGGGAATCCTGGTTAAACATAGGGCTTGGTAGTCAGACTAACCTGGGTTTTAATTTCTATCTATTATGTGTCCTTGGGCAAATCACTTCAATTCTCAAAGTCCCAATTTCCTGTCTGTTAACTGGTGAGACTAGTGGAATCTGTAGCATGGCATTGTGAGGATTCAGTGAAAAAAATACACATAGAGAGTTTTTTTCTTTTTTTTTCTGAACAGATTTTATTACACAGGGGATGGAGCTCAGTCCTTGGCTGCTGCCTTCCTCATGGCTGCAAGGACATTGCTCAGCTTCTCTCTCTTCCTCTTGGCACGGATGTGTGTCCCCACCCTTTTCTTGATGAATTTCAGGGCCCTCTTGTCCTTAGAGACCTTGAGCAGCTCCAAGGCTGCTCAAAGGGGGCAAAGCTACATACCTCTCAGATCATGTCCCACACGAACTTGGTGTGCTTGGTGAGGCGCCCACGGCGGCAGCTGTGCCTTGGCTTGCTCAGTTCTTAGTCACCTTGTGGCCCTTGTTGAGGCCCACGGCCATCGGGTAGTGCAGAGCCATGGCTGCTGTTCCTCAGTGGCTGTGGCGGCAGAAGGCACATAGAGAGTTTTATATAGTGCCTGGTGTAGAGCAAGTGCATTATTACTGTTTAAGCGCACACTGGCAATAACTAGTTTTTCTGCATTAGAAACAACTAGAAAGTAGCAGACCTGGGATTCAAAGCTAGGGAATCTAACTTCAGGGCTTGTCAATTTCCATCTAACACTTGCCTTAGACCATGTTCTGTTTTTGGCACATAGCTTTTAATAAAGGATAGATGTCACTTTTTTTTTTTCATGTACTCTATAGATACTGCACACATGAAAACTATATTATCCCTGAAAGCCCGGCACTATATTTTTTGTAGTCTCATGCAAGATAAGTCTCTCCTGCGATTTTTGGTTCAGATAATATTCTAGTTTGGGGAATGAGAGGGTCCAGGTTTTACAGCCACGTGGGCACTGCGTGGGAGAGGGGAGGCTGTACTGCTTCCACCAGCAGAGGGCGACGTTCGCGAATGCGGCCACAGAGAGGTTGCACCGCCCACTCGTCACCCCCCACGTGGGTCTGAATGGTTAGGCCCGCCGGGCAGGTAGCGCGCTTCCGCGGCTTCCCTCCACCCCCTCCCTTCATCTATTGGTAGGGGCTGCGGGTCCGGGCGGAAGTGGGGCAGGCAGGCGGGAGCGAGGCGTCACCGTTGTATATTCATGAGGCGCGCGCAGCCCGGCATGCTAATGAGGCGGGGCGCGGCGGCGGGCTAAGGAGCTGCTGGGCGGCGGCGGCGGCGGCTGCGGGCTGGGATCAGCCGGGCGGGAGCGGTGTAGGCGCGGGGTCACCAGCCAGCGCGAACCTGGACATGGAGCCGCCCGGCGGGGGCCAGGGGCCCGGCCGTGGGTCCCGGGACAAGAAGAAGGGCCGGAGCCCGGACGAGCTGCCTGCGGCGGGCGGCGACGGCGGCAAATCCAAGAAATTTGTGAGTGTCCTTCCCACCCCGTTCCCTCAGCCCAGCGGGGTAACCGCCCTCTGGACCCCGGAGATCCCCGCAATCGGTTCCTGGGATGCACGCCTGTCTCTAGGGAGCCGCCCCCGCGCCTCCCTTTCTCGTTTTGCTGGGTCCTGGGCTCCACAGCGGGACCTCCTACCCCTCCTGGACCTCGGGGAGCCCCGGCGTCACCCGGCTCTTGCCCCGGCAGCCTGGGAGCTTCCTTCACCCCCCAGCCAGCACGCTCTGCCCCTCGCCCCCATAGCCCGGGCGGGTCTCAGCCCCATCTCTTTCCTCTCAGCCCCGCTTCCTTTCTTCTTCCTCTATTACCCGAACACGCCTTCTCTATCTTGGTCCTCTGTGCTTTTCTGAGTCCATTTTCTCGTATTACTCCTCCCACCCCCCCCTTTTTGGTATTTTATTTGCTTCTCCTAAAGGTCACTTCCTTCCCCTAAGATTGATCGCTTTCACCTGCTAACTTTCCTCCGCCCAGCCCTCTCTCTGGGCCCTCAGCCCTGTGTCACCTAATAATCCTTCCTCTCAGGAATGTTACCTGACTTGGGCCGTACCTCCCCCCTGCCTTGAACGTTTGTCCTTGCGATTGCCGGAACGGGTTCATGGCCAGGTCCTGTGGTCATTGGGCATGACGTTAATTTTCTTCCCAGTATTTCCCTGTGCAGAGAACCTGTCACTTTACCCTGTTGCTTGTCACTTTTCAGGGGGTTAGAACTTCGCATGGTTATGCCCTTCTTGACCTAGGATGGTGATAAACCTCCCCCATGGGGAGGAAGTTAGACTGCAAGTCCAAGAAGTTTATGAGTAATTGAATTTCATTCTTTACATTTCCCATGATAACCATCTCCTAAACTCTGCCACCTCCTGTGCCCCAAGGCGACTGGCATCCCTTTTCCTACCTGTAGAAGAGTATAGCTTTCCTCAGGTGCCCATTACTTCCAATGGGAATCTGAAAGAATATTGATATTCATGTAACCCTATCGTATATAATTACCCTTGCTCACAATGAATCTTTTTTATTCCTCTCTCCAGGGAGCTATTTGTTTGCTTTTTACTGAGGGAAAGGGTCTTGGACCTTAATAGTCATTTGCTAGCTGTAATTTTAGTTATTTAGTCCTCTCTTCTAGGTAATTACGCCCCCACCTCAGTATCTCTTTCTACTAGTCAAATAGCTTCTAACACTTTACTCTTTCTTTCTCTTTTCTCTTACCCCCATCTCCCTTAGCATTCTGACCCAGTTCCACAACTTTGGGAAAAAATTGATAAAGTGTTAGGGTCAGGAAGAAAATGTTGCTTTGGGACCTAGAGGGTTGAGATGTGGAAAGAACTAAACAGAATTAAAAATAGTGACTCATCTCTTCCTACGTATTCCTAGCAAGGCAGGTGCTTCTGGACTGTCCTTTTCAGTGACTTAGAGGCTGTCAGTAACTTTTTATCTGGTAGAACATTTCCCCCCCAAGAAATGTAGGGTTAATGGTAGTGATGACCCTCCCCTATGGTAACTAAAGCAGCATTTCTCTCTGTTTCTTTAGGATAAGAGTTGACTCTCTAGGGAGAGAGCTTTCTTCCGGAGACTTAAGGTCTAGGGCCCATATTCTCTCTGTTTCAGTATCTTTTTGTTTTGATTTTGTTGCCATGGGTACTGTTTGACCTTCCTCACCCAATTCCACCTATTCCTCCTGATTTATAGTGACCTCTGTGCCTTGTATATGTTTTTCAAGTCCTTAATAAAATTTTATATGTGCTTTTGTTTTATTTAACACTTGTGTGTTTCACAAATGTGTAAAATCTGTTAAGTGTAAGTGGTGCTGAAAGGTGAGGTACCTGAGGAAACAACTTCTTTTCATGTTTTTTGGAATGTCCATGAAGTCTTGTATATGCTGAGTGGATTTGGCTCAGAGTTGTTGCTATTTGCTTTAGAGAGGGTGGAGCTGAACCAAGTTCTCTTTTCCTTTCTGAGGTGTTGGTCTTAACCCTTAACTTGCTAAATTTTAAACAATATGTAGCACAGGTAGGGAGCAGAATTGCATTTATAGCTAGGGGATTGGAAAGTTTCCAGGAGAAAAATGCTGCTTAACCCCTTTATTTGCCAATTATAATATACCTCAAGGCATCAGAATTCTCTTTTCCTCTTGATCTTTTTATGAAAACTCTAGAAATGAAAGACCAGAAGGAGCATTGCAATTAACGTCTCTTTGTGTCTGTGTGTATGTATATGTGGGTGGGTGGAGAGGGTGAGCTTGCTGGTGTGCTTTTGTTACCCAGTGTCTTAGTTTTCTTGAACTACAGGCTGAAAGTAAACTCAAAACTGTTTCACCTCCTCCACCTTTTCTATGAAGAATGTACTTTATAAAACTGTACTGGTTTGTTTCTAGTGTGCCCGAAGGTTATTTGTTTGCATCCGAAGGGTTACTAATCCTTTTAGCTGCTACATACCTTTCCAGGCTTATGCAGGTTCTAAGTATAGCTCAAATGATGAGAACACAGAGCTCACAAATTGCCTAAGATCTGCCCTTACTTTCTGAGGCATGTGGTGTGTAAAGAAGATGGAGTGTAAATTGAAAAAGTGGTTGGGCATCTTTTAAAAATGTGGTTGTGGGAGATGCTGACATGTCGTTGAAGCCAGGCTGCCTGGTATTCCCCCTTGATTCTTTATGAGTCTCTCTTCTCATGAGCCGTGAACATATCACTTCTCCAGCATTATTCTAGTTCATTTCAGAAGTCTTTAAGATGAAGGAAAATAAAAATTCCAAATAAAGAGTGTTTTCTGACTTTTCAGCAGTGATGAATGTGGGTGCCAAATAGACTGTTTCTGATATGTGTAAGGGGAATAAGTGTAACCAGGATGTTAGGAAGCTGCCGGGTATTCCTGTATTTTATAGGCTCCATGTCTTCTCACATAATCAAGAAATTGGTATGTTCTGTCCAGCTGGTGTGGCTCAGTGGTTGAGCATTGACGTATGCACCAAAAGGTCACCAGATCAATTCCCAGTCAGGACACGTGCCCAGGTTGTGGGCCTGATCCCCAGTGAGGGGCATGCAGGAGGCAGTCAATCGATGTTCTCTCTCATCAATGTTTCTGTCTCTCTCTCCCTCCCCCTTCCTCTCTCTCTAAAATCAATAAAGGGGAAAAAATTTTGAAAAAAGAAATTGATATGTTCTAAGAAAGAATATTACTTCCTGATTCAGCTAGGAGCATAACTTTGTAAAACATGAATTTCAGTGTGGGATTAGAGAAAACAGGAGAAAATTTAAAAAATCTTGTTAATTTTGGATGCCTATGTTGAATTAGTACCAGGTTGCAGTTTCATGCCTTTCTAAAAGCAAAGTGATAGTGAAAGTATGTTTGGTGTAGACTCCTGTTCAAAATGAGAGCAGTCAAAGGTGAAGGATGCCAGGCAGGATTTAAAGCAGATAATTGGGAAAGTAGAGAATATAAAAGAAGTGGAGTTGTTCATGCAGATTTCTGCTTCTCCTCTTAAAGGAGATCTTTAAAAAAAAAAATTTATCACAAATAGGATTTTTTATTTGTCACCATTAAATGTCTGAATTTTAAACAGATTCTTAGACTGGGAACTCATATCCACCATCTTGTTCAACTTTAGCACCTGTCTCATCTCTATTAGCTCTTCCAGAACTGCTACCTTCATCATGAAGCTCCATGAGTTTTCCAATTCAAACTTGGGCTTCTTCAGCATTTTGACTTTTCTAACAAAAACATCATGGAGTGGATAAATGGATTGCCAAGCCTTTTCTATGTCTTTTTCCAATGCTATCTGGAATCAGTTTATTGACCACTTCTTTCAAGTCATTTGCGCCTTTCAGGTCATGATTTCTGTCATCTTCTGGATTTGGCGGACCTGTTAATGCTGACTGTAAGAAGTCTTCTGAATCTAATTTTTGTGTTTTTTAGTAAAACCAGCACAGAACAGACGAAGCAAATAACCATTGATAGTCTTGACATCAACATGAGCTTCAAGCATTGTCTGCCATTTTTTTTTTACCACAGAGCACATCTTATCACAGGTGAGATCCATGCCATTGAAATTAGTCAGGCAGTTTTTGTCCTGAACATCCTCAGTAATTAGCTTGACTTTTCTAAATGTAACTTCATCATTCTGCAGATCAGCTAGGCTCACTTAAAAAACACAACGCTTGAGACCATCAGATTCAATTTTGGTTCCTTGAGTTCTTGTGAGTAGTGTTTTCCCAATAATTCTTACATTAAACATAGCTGGTGCTTTCACATAACATCATCTTTCTTAGAAAATGGATCAACCACTTTCTTCTTGGATCCCTTTTTGCTGCCTTTCATAAGGTGCTTGTGCTTGCCTACCACCATGGTGTTAGCTCAGAGAGCCAAAAGGATCTTAAAGGAGATCTTAACATTAATACAAAAGGTCACTGAAAACCAAGGACTGTACAGACAACTTTATACAAGTCATATGTTTTGTTTTTGTTTTTTTTTTAAGATGATAAACATAGGGATTACTTAATTTGGAAAAAGGGAGGGAAACCTATAATAATGTTACTGAGATGCTTGAGATAACAAGATCATACCTTAAAAATGTCTGCCCTTCTTCCTTGTCTTTTTTTTTCTTCACCGAGGAAATGTTTTGCATTTATTTTCAGATAGAGTGGGAGGGAGGGATGGGGGAAGAGAGAGAGAAACATCGATGTGAGAGAGACACAAATTGACTGGTTGCCACCTACATGACCTCAACCGGGGTGGGGACAAACTGCAACTGAGGTACGTGCCCTTAGCAGAAACCGAACCCAGGACTGGTCCACAGGCCAACGCTCTAACCGCTGAGCTAAACTGGCCAGGGCTCTTGTCTTATCTTTAAAGACAGCCCAAGGATCCACTTGATAATCTTACATGCCTCAGAATTAAAATCTCCCCTGGGAGACTTGGTAAATATTGGGATACTTTTATAAAAAGAACTGAAAATGTTATTACTTATAAATGGTTTATT